GGGGGGGACGAGTGAGAGGGGAAAAACCCCCCTGGGAGCCCCTCCAGGACACACAGGGAGCCCCCCTGGATTGGGGGGGGACGAGTGAGAGGGGGGAAAACCCCCCTGGGAGACCTCCCAGGACACACAGGGAGCCCCCCTGGATTGGGGGGGGACAAGTGAGGGGGGAAAACCCCCTGGGAGCCCCCCCAGGACACACAGGGAGCCCCCCTGGATTGGGGGGGGACGAGTGAGAGGGGAAAAACCCCCCTGGGAGCCCCTCCAGGACACACAGGGAGCCCCCCTGGATTGGGGGGGGACGAGTGAGAGGGGGGAAAACCCCCCTGGGAGACCTCCCAGGACACACAGGGAGCCCCCCTGGATTGGGGGGGGACGAGTGAGAGGGGGGAAAACCCCCCTGGGAGACCCCCCAGGACACACAGGGAGCCCCCCTGGATTGGGGGGGACGAGTGAGGGGGGAAAACCCCCTGGGAGACCCCCCAGGACACACAGGGAGCCCCCCTGGATTGGGGGGGGGGGCAGGTGAGAAGGGAAAGACCCCCTGGGAGCCCCCCCAGGACACACAGGGAGCCCCCCTGGATTGGGGAGGGGGACACGGGTGAGAGGGGAAAAACCCCCCTGGGAGACCCCCCAGGACACACAGGGAGCCCCCCTGGATTGGGGGGGGACAGGGGTGAGAGGGGAAAAACCCCCTGGGAGCCCCCCTGGATTGGGGGGGGGACGAGTGAGAGGGGGGAAAACCCCCTGGGAGTCCCCCGGGATTGGGGGGGGACAGGGGTGAGAGGGGGGAAAACCCCCTGGGAGCCCCTCCAGGACACACAGGGAGCCCCCCTGGACTGGGGGGGGGGCAGGTGAGAAGGGAAAGAGCCCCTGGGAGCCCCCCTGGATTGGGGGGGGGACAGGTGAGGTGGAGACCCCTCTGGGATCCCCCCTTGGAAGTGAGGGGGGGGGTGACAGGTGAGTGGGGAAGCCCCCCCGGGAGGGGGGGGGATCCAGGGGACCTCCTCCCTTCCCCCCCCGGGATCCAGGGGACCTCCCCTCGCCCCCCCCATGATCCAAGGACCCTCTCTCCGGGATCCAGGGGACCTCCCCTCGCCCCCCCCGGGATCCAAGGACCCTCCCCCGGGATCCAAGGACCCTCCCCCGGGATCCAGGGGGCCTCCCCTCGCCCCCCCCGGGATCCAAGGACCCTCCCCCGGGATCCAGCCCCCCCTGCTCCCCCCCCCGGGGGTCCCACCTGGAGCAGCAGGACGGAGTCCACGGAGGCGAAGTGCCCCTCGTCCAGGGAGAAGTGCTCCATGGGGGCCCCCCCGGCCCCCCAGCGCTCCAGGTGCTCCTCCAGGTCCTCGCACGCGGCCGCCCAGTCGAACCCCGACTCTGAGGGGGGGGGTCCCGAAAACGGGGGGGGGGCCCAAAGTGTCATGGGGGGACTCGGGGGGGCACCGGGAGAGTCCCCCAGAGACACCTCGGGGGGAGAATGGGGGGCACAGGGGGGGAATGGGGGGGAAAGGGGGAGTCCCCACGGTCCCCATTTCCACCCCGAACCCCCACAGAGCATCAGACCCACAAATACTGGGGGGGGTCCCCAAGGTCCCCATTTCCATTCCTGACCCCCCTCAGAGCGTCCAGACCCACAGTGGGAAGAGGGGGGGTCCCCAAGGTCCCCATTTCCACCCCTGAACCCCCACAGAGCGTCCAAACCCACAAATACTGGGGGGGGTCCCCAAGGTCCCCATTTCTACCCCCGAACCCCCCTCAGAGCGTCAGACCCACAAACACTCGGGGGAGGGGGGGTCCCCAAGGTCCCCATTTCCACCCCCGAACCCCCACAGAGCATCAGACCCACAAACACTGGGGGGGACACCCAGGACACCCCATCACCCACCCTGGGGACACCTTTGGGGTCCCCCCCAACCCCTCCCAGCGTATCCCAGGAAAATGGGGGAGTCAGGGGGGTCCCCAAGGGAATTGGGGGGTCCGGGGTTCCCCCCCCAAACTCCCTTGGGAGCATCAGACCCACAAACAACGGGGGGGGGGACACACACAGGACACCCCCCCGGCCACCGCAGCAGGGAACCTTTGGGGGTCCCCCAAGGCCCGGGGTTGGGAGGGGGGGTCCCGGTCGCCCCCAGACCCACCTGGCAGCGGGGGGAGGGGGCGGCGGGCGCGCT